TCCCAGCCTGGCTATCTTAGGAGAGTTATTATTTCATGCTAATGACTCAAGACATCCTAAATGGATGGATTGGCATGGGTGATGGATAGAGGTGGCGTATCATCCATTCTTGCATTGCGCATCAAAGAAGTACCAAGGTTGGAATAATTTAATAAGAAAAGAGGTTTAATTCTGCTCACAGCTCTGGATGCTGTATAGGGAAGCCATGGTGCTGGCATCTGCTTCTGGTGGGGCCTCCTCAGGAAGCTTCCAATCATATGGAGCGATCCACCCACCTTGGCCTCCCAAAGTGCTAGGATTATGAGCATGAGCCACTGCACCTGGCCCCCGAGCAAGTTACTTAACATCTCTGTTCTCATCTGTAAAACCAGGAAGACAGTAATGCCTATCCCTTGTAGTTTTATGAGGAATAAATAAGAGTCTGCCTATAGCACTTAGGATGTTGGGAGGATGGTTTAACATGTCATCCAGGCTAGGCCACAGTAACCAGTTATTTAATCAAATGCTAGCCTAGGTGTGGCTCTGAAGGTATTTTGTAGATGTGGTTGACGGCTACAATTAGTTGACTTCAAGAAGATTATTCTCAGTGATGTGGGTGGGCCTCATCTACTCAGTTGAAGGCTTTAAGGGCAAAACAGTTTGTAGAGAAGAAATTCTGCCCCCAGACTGGAGCATCAAATCCTGTCTCAGGAACACATTACCATGCCCAGCTAATTTTTTACAAAAACTTTTTGTAGAGATGGGGTCTTGCTATGTTGCCCAAGCTGGTCTTGAATTCCTGGGGTCAAGTGATCTTCCTGCCTCAGCCTCCCAAAGTGCTGGGATTACAGGTGCAAGCCACTGCACCCAGCCCTCTCCATAGAAATTAGCCCAGTCGGGGGTGAACTTACCTGTCTATTCTCCATCTCGTCCTCTAGACTGTGAGTCCTCCAGGCAGGCACCTGGTCTGTCATTTCCCCTGTGTCACCCCTACCCCCAGCCTGCTATTAGGAGAGTTATTATTTCATGCTAATGACTCAAGACATCCTAAATGGATGGATGGCTGGGTGGATGGATAGAGGGTGGGCGTATCAGTCCATTCTTGCATTGCTATAAAGAAGTACCCAAGGTTGGATAATTTATAAAGAAAAGAGGTTTAATTGGCTCACAGCTCTGGATGCTGTATAGGAAGCATGGTGCTGGCATCTGCTTCTGGTGGGGCCTCAGGAAGCTTCCAATCATGATGGAAGGTGAAGGGAGAGCAGGTACATCACTTGTCGGGAAGAGGAGAAGAGAGCGAGGGGGACGGTGCCACACACTTCTAAACAACTGTATCTCACATAAACTCAGAGCAAGCACTCACTCATCACCAAGAGGATGACGCTAAGCCATTCAGGAGGGATCCGTCCCCCTGATCCAATCACCTCCCACCAGGCCCCACCTCCAACACTGGGGATTACGTTTCTTTTTCTTTTAATTTAATTTAATTTTAAGTTCTGGGATACATGTGCAGGACGTGCAGATTTGTTACACAGGTAAACGTGTGCCATGGTGGTTTGCTGCACCTATCAACCCATAACCTAGGTATTAAGCCCTGCATGCATTAGCTATTTATCCTGGTGCTCTTCTTCTTCCCACCCCCACCCAACAGGCCCCAGTGTGTGCTGTTCCCCTCCCTGTGTTCATGCGTTCTCATCATTCAGCTCCCACTTATAAGAAAGAACATGTGGTGTTTGGTTTTCTGTTCCTGCATTGGTTTGCTGAGGATAATGGCTTCCAGCTCCACCCATGTCCCTGCAAAGGACATGATCTTGTTCCTTTTTCTGGCTGCACAGTATTCCATGGTGTATATGTACCCCAGTCTATCATTGATGGGCATTTGGGTTGATTCCATGTCTTTGCTATTGTGAATAGTGCTGCAGTGAACATACACGTGCCTGTATCTTTCTAACAGAACGATTTCGGGGTTGATATTTCTTTGTTGTTGTTGTTGTTGTGTAATGGGATGGCTGGGTCAAATGGTATTTCTGGATCTAGATCCTTGAGGAATTGCCACACTGTCTTCTACAATGGTTGAACTAATTTACTTTGGGGGATTACATTTCAACATGCGATTTGGAAGGGAGCAAGCATCCAAACTGTACCAGTGGGACATCTGGTCATGTCCCCTGCAGGACTGGCCCACAGGGGTGGGGAAGAGCAAGAGGAGAGAGAAGGTTGGTGGCACTTACTGTTGATGATACTTATCACACTAGGCACGGTACCTTTACTTTCAGGGTCCTCATCGGGCTGCTCCTGCTTTTCCAGGAAGGTCCTGGTCCAATTCTCGAGCATCTCAGTCAGCCAGTTGTAATTAGGCTCACCGCCTTCATCTACGTCAAGAAACCCAGGTGGTCTCAGATGCTGTCTAAGTACCCTGCCAAGAACACCACAGACCCTGTTCCGCCTCACCTTCTGTAATGCCCTGCAGTTCCTCCCGAGGTGACCTCCTTCTCCAGGTGACCCTCTCTCCCCTTGCCTTCTGCTGACCTCCATGTTACCTTGCTCTCTCTGACTTTCTGGCCTCTTTATTCTAGCTCCTTCACCTCTGCCTCCACCTCTACTCATCTTTTACATGCTCATCTTATTCAGGGTTTGAGGCAAAGTCTTCTCCTCTTTATTTATTTATTTATTTGAGACAGAGTCTTGCTCTATTGCCCAGGCTGGAGTGCAATGGGGTAATCTCAGCTCACTGCAACCTCTGCCTCCCAGTTTCAAGCGAATCCCCTGGCTCAGCCTCTGGAGTATCTCGGACTATAGACGTGCACCACCACCAGGCACAGCTAATTTTTGTACTTGTAGTACAGACAGGGTTTCACCATTTTGGCCAGGCTGGTCTCGAACTCCTGACCTCAAGTGATCCACCCGCCTCGGCCTCCCAAAGTGCTGGGATTACAGGCATTGAGCTACCATGCCTGGTACCCCCCCTTTTATTTTTATCCATACTCATGAATTAGATGATGCTCAACTCTCTCTCTCTCACACACACACACTGATAATAGCTCTGCTCACATTTGCTGAGAACATCACCTGCCAGGCTTATCTTGGAGCATTTTGCATAAATTCTGCCCTTCAATCTTCACCACATTCCTTGGAGTGAGCTCTCTGAGGCTTCTTTTATAGGGGATTAATCCGAATCAAGAGGGCTCTACCCCATGCTCTCAACACCTCCCAAAGGCCCCATCTCTTAATACCATCACCTTGGGGTTGATATTTCTTTGTTGTTGTTGTTGTTGTTGAGACAGATTTTCACTCTGTCACCCAGGCTGGAGTGCAGTGGCACAGTCACCAGCCTACCATCCCATAACGTTCGTTAGCCATTTGTAGGTTGGAGATACATTCTCCTTCCAGACTTGTCTATAACCAGCATATGGTGAATGCTGATGTCAAAAAACAATATTAAAGCGTGTCACGTGGCAAGAAGTTGGCTCTCTGCAACCCAGAAGCAGGTTCCCAGGAATCCAACCCTACTGGTACTCTGATCTTGGACTTCCAGCCTCCAGAACTGAGAAATAAATCTCTGTTGTGGCTAAGCCAGCCAGCCTATGTATGGCACTTTGCTCTAGCAGCCTTCACAACTAAAACAGGGAGCGAGGCATGAAGTGGATGCAGGGCTGTGCTCAGGACCTACCTTCACTCCATACCTGACTGTTGGCCTGTGAAAAAGCAAGAGTACCCTGCTGTGTTCACCACAGTTGCATCTTCCACAAATGGAAGGGAGACCACCTTTGTCAGCCTCTGCTGTAGTTAGGCTGGGGCCATGTGACGGATCCTGGCCAACAGGAGGTGTGTGGAGCTGGTGCCCGCTACTTCCAGGCCTGGCTACAAAAGGCCTTCTGTGGCTCTCCAGCTCTCTCCTCTCATAGAACAGACAAGGAGACCTTGTGCCAAGAGGAGAAGCAATGAGATTCAAGCAGCTTGGCCCAGCGTGGTGGCTCATGCCTGTAATCCCAGCACTTTGGGAGGCCCAGGCAGGCAGATCACTTGAGGTCAGGAGTTCGAGAGCAGCCCGGGTAACATAGTGAAAACTCGTCTCTACTAAAAATACAAAAATTAGCCAGGTGTGATGGCAGGTGCCTGTAATCTCAGCTATTTGGGAGGTTGGGGCAGGAGAAAAGCTTGAACCTGGGAGGCAGAGGTTGCAGCGAGCCGAGATAGGAGCTAGACTCTGTCTTTAAAAAAAGAAAAAAAAAAACAAAAAACAAAAACAAAATCAGAAAAGAAAGAAAAAAGAGATGCAAGCAGCTTGGATGCCTAAGTCCCCACATGGAGCCAAGGTGCCCTGTAGGAACACTCAACCCATATTGCTTTTTGGGTGAGCAAAATACAAACCCTTTGTGTCTTAAGTCATAGCAATTTGTGGTTTCTTTGTGCAGTACAGTGTCTCCTGAACAAATATAGTCTCCTCCATAATATAATCTAACTTCTCCATAGAGAATTCATCTGATACTTTGTTCTTACTCTCCATACTCCCACCATGGGTCAAGTCTGGCTCCTTCAAGACTCTCAGCCCATGTAGTTTTGGGAAGTATTTTTCCTCTCAATTTGCTAATTGCCTCAGGCTGTTCCCATTTTCTGCTTCTGACACTTGGATCCTAGGCATACCTAGGGTATATCTATGCACATGGTTACAGTGCATAGATATACCTTACATGCATATGGTTACAGTGTGTCAGTTTGAACTCTGATCCTGCTTCCACCTGGCTGCATGGCCTTGGGCACCTGTGAGAGTCCATGTTCCTCTCCATTCCCAAAGGAGCACTACATGAATCAGACACGTGCAGTTTTTAGGACAATGGCTGGCTTCAAGCCAGTGTGCAGTCTACACTATCATTAGGGATTCATGACAAAGTAGGATGCTTACCTTTCAGGGCAGGACGTTCCCTTTGCAAACTTTGTTGCAGCCTCAGTAACGGGGCTGCAAAAGAACAGAGGCAGGGGGGATGTTTAACTGTACAGTAAAGTCACCAGTTATAGAAAATACAGATTACCTGCAGGGACATCTCTTTAGTAGAAATGGCAGCCATGGGTTGCAGTCTGTTGATAAGGGCTCTGGAGAGCTAATTTTGTACCCGTCTTTCAACTCTGTGCTCAGTGACCTCGTGTTGGTAGCTTGAAATCTGCCATGATGTGATCAAGTGGGTTTCATACCAGTAATGCAAGGATGGCTTAACATACGCAAGTCAACAAATGCGATACATCACAGAAACAGAATTAAAAACAAAAATCATAGGAGATGCAGAAGCATTTCACAAAATTCCGCATCCCTTTATGATTAAAACCCTCAACAAAATCGGTATACGAGAGACATACTTCAATGTAATAAAAGCCATCTATGACAGACCCCACAGCCAACATTACACTGAATGGGGAAAAGTTTAAAGCATTCCCCCTAAGAACTGGAACAAGACAAGGATGCCCACTTTTACCACTTGTATTCAACATAGTACTGGAAGTCCTAGTCAGAGCCATCAGACAAGAGAAAGAAATGAAGGGCATCTAAACTGGTAAAGAGGAAGTCAAACTGTTACTGTTCACCGATGATATGATTGTACACCTAGAAAATCCTAAAGACTCATCCAAAAAGCTCCTAGATCTGATGAATGAATTCAGTAGAGTTTCAGGATACCGAATCAATGTACACAAATCAGTAGCACTGCTACGTACACCAACAATGACCAAGCTGAGATTCAAATTAAGAGCTCAACCTCTTTTACAACAGCTGCAAAAAAAAAAAAAAAAAAATACTCAGGAATATACCTAACCAAGGAGGTGAAAGACCGCTACAAGGAAAACTACAAAACACTGCTGAAAGAAATCATAGACAACACAAACAAATGGAAACACATCCCATGCTCATGGATGGGTAGAATCAATATTGTGAAAATGACCATATTGCCAAAAGCAATCTACAAATTCAATGTAATTCCCATCAAAATGCTATCATTTTTCACAGAACTAAAAAATCCTAAAATTCTTTTTTTTTTTTTTTTTTTTTTTGAGACATAGTCTCGCTCTGTCACCCAAGCTGGAGTACAATGGCCGATTTCGGCTCACTGCAACCTCTGCTTCCCAGGTTCAAGCAATTCTCCTGCCTCAGCCTCCCGAATAACTGGGATTACAGGTGCATGCACCATGCCTGACTAATTTTTGTATTTTTAGTAGAGACAGGGTTTCACCATGTTGGTCAGGCTTGTCTCAAACTCCTGACCTCAGGTGATCCACCTGCCTTGGCCTCCCAAAGTGCTGGGATTACACATGTGTGGCTACCATGCCCAGCCACAATCCTAAAATTCATATGAACCAAAAAAGAGCTCGCATAGCCAAAGCAAGACTAAGCAAAAAGAACAAATCTGGAGGCATCACATTACCCAATCAAATTATACTGCAAGCCTATAGTTACCAAAACAGCATGGTACTGGTATAAAAGTAGGCATGTAGAACAATGGAACAGAATAGAGAACCCAGAAATAAAGCCAAATACTTACAGCCAACTGATCTTCGACAAAGCAAACAAAAATATAAAGTGGAGGAAGGGACACCTTATTCAACAAATGGTGCAGGGATAACTGGCAAGCCACATGTAGAAGAATGAAGTTGGATCCTTATTTCTCACCTTATACAAAAATCAGCTCACAAATTCAATGTGAATTTGCATCAAAGACTTAAATATGAGACCAGAAGTCATATAAATTCTAGAAGATAACATCAGAAAAACTCTTCTAGACGTTGACTTAGGCAATGAGTTCACAACCAAAAGCCCAAAAGCAAATACAACAAAAACAAAAGTAAACATACGGATGTATGGGAACAGGCATGGTAGCTCACGCCTGTAATCCCAGCACTTTGGGAGGCCGAGGAGGGCAGATCACTCGAGGTCAGGAGTTCAAGACCAGCCTGGCCAACATGGTGAAACCCCATCTCTACTAAAAATACAAAAATTAGCTAGGCATGGTGGTGCATGCCTGTAGTCCCAGCTACTTGGGAGGCTGAGGCAAAAGAATCACTTGAACCTGCGAGTTGGAGGTTGCAGTGAGATTGCACCACTGCATTCCAGCTTGGATGACAGAGCAAGACTCTGCCTCAATTAAAATAAAATAAAATAAAAAAGACACATGCCCATGTATGTTTATCACAGCACAATTCACAATTGAAAGATATGGAATCCACCTAAGTGCCCATTGACCAATGAGTGGATGAAGAATATGTGGTATATAAACAGCATGGAATATGACTCAGCCATAAAAAAGAGTAAAATAATGTCTTGCAGCAACTTGGATGGAGGCCATCATTCTAAGTGAAGTAACTTAGGAACGTAAAACCAAAACCACATGTTCTCACTTACAAGTGGGAGCTAAGCCATGGGTATGCAAAGGCATACGGAGTGGCATAATGGACTTCAGAGATTCAGAAAGGGGAGGGCAGGGAGGTGGGGACAAAAAACTACACACTGGGGCCAGGTGTGGTGGCTCATGCCTGTAATCCCAGCACTTTGGGAGGCCGAGGCGGGCAGATTACTTGAGCTCAGAAGTTCGAGACCAGTCTGACCAACATGGCAAAACCCCATCTCTACTAAAAATATAAAAATTAGCCAGGCATGGTGGTGCGTGCCTGTGGTCCCACCTACTTGGGAGGCTGAGGCAGGAGAATCACTTGAACCCAAGATACAGAGGTTGTAATGAGATGAGATCCCTCCACTGCACTCCAGCCTGGGCAACAGAGCGAGACTGTCTCAAAAACCAAAACCAAAAAACTACATATTGAGTGCAACATACTCTAAAACATACACTGATGGGTGGACTACAATCTCAGAATTTACTACTACATAATTCATCATGTAACAGAAACCACTTGTACCCCCAAAAGCTATTGAAGTAAAAATTCAAAAAAACAAAAAAACTTAATATAATATTTAAAAATATTATTACCTAATAGTAGCAGAGTTAATCCCTATAATTAAAATATTGTACATGCTATAAATTTTTACTTGAGATCAAATCAAAATTCAATTTTTCCACATGTGCTGAAAATGTGATAGAAAGCTGAGTCCTGATACGTGTCGGTTAGGTCAAGCTTCTGCTTCATCTTTTTCAGATTTTTGAATAGTCAATAAATTTTGTCTGCTTTTTTTTCTTTCTCTTTTTTTCTTTCTTTCTTTTTTTTTTTTTTTTTTTTTTTTGAGACACAGTCTCGATCTGTTGCCCAGCCTGGTGCATAGTGATGCAATCTCGGCTCACTGCAACCCCTGCCTCCCAGGTTCAAGCAATTCTCCTGCTTCAGCCACCCGACTAACTGGGACTACAGGTATGCACCACCACGCCCGGTTAATTTTTGTATTTTTAGTAGAAATGGGGTTTCACCATGTTGGCCAGGCTGGTCTCAGACTCCTGACCTCAAGTGATTCACCCACCTCAGCCTCCCAAAGTGCTGGGATTATAGGTGTGAGCCACTGTATCCTGGCCTCAAGTGATCTGCCTGCCTTAGCCTCCCAAGTGTTGGGATTATGGGTGTCAGCCACTGCATCCAGTCAGATTGCTAATGTTTACTGAGTGCCTTTATCTGCAAGGCACTGTCCTGTGTGCTTTTGATGAATTAACTCATTCATCATAACTACTATTATTATCACCCGCATGGCACAGAGGCAGAAACTGAGGCACAGAGAGGTTAAGGAACTTTTCAGAGGTCACAAAGCTCACATGTACCAAAGCAACATTCCTTCCAAGGGGGTCTGTACTCTCATCCACTCTGTGGTCATCCTGGCTGCCCAGTTACATGAGAATAAATGTCAGGAAATGCAGTTGCTAGAACAATTACATACAGGTCTCTCTTCTGCCATGAGTAGGAAAAGTACTGTGAATCTCCTTGCACAAAATATCTCTAGGCTTTGACCTTGCTGTTCCGCAAATACTCACCAAAAATACGGCGTCCAACGTATTTAGCATTTGCAACAGTCCTTCTCCATACATCTCCTAAGAAAATAGTAATAAAATTCAAACATTCTCCATCATGTGACTGTCATGCTTGATATTCAAAGCACCAGCAGACTGGTATAAAGCACTGCAGGGATCTGTAGCAGGAAGAAAGATCATTTTTCCATTCCATAAATATGTATGAAGCAATTAGTGGGCACCCGGCACTCTTTTGGCTGCTGAAATAGAGCAGTAAACAAGACAGATTTGTCCTCATGAACCTTCTATGGGTGGAGCCAGCCAGACACTGTAGACTGGCTACTCCAAAGCCCATTTCAAGCTCCCTTCCATGCCAACCCTTCTCAGCCCACAGGCAGGAAGGGCAAATATTTCCCAGCCTCCCCTGCAGCTAGGGGAAGGTCAAGCTCTGGCCCATGCACTTTGCTGGGGGCACTTCTGGAAAGTCCTTGCTCTCCTACTACGAAAGAGCAGGACAGCAAACATGTTGGATTAGAGGCATTGCTGGCATACCCCTCCCACTTGGAAGGACAAAACACTGTGTAGAGATTCACACTGTGAACTTTTTTATTTTCAAGAAGTGATTCAGGAATTGGACAGGAAATCTGAAGGAATCCACCGTCCCTTTGGAGGAACTGACGGGCTGCAGCCTATACTGTGACTCAAGTGAAGGGCTGCGAGTCCCCAGGGTGTGAGACAGGGAAAGACTGCGGGATACACGCCCCCACTTTCAGGGAGCCTGAAAGTCCAGTCTCTGGGGCAAGGCCTTAACCCTATTCAGTGCAGGATATGACTTGGGGAGGTTCATGGAATATAAGTAGGAGCTGCGGGAAGAACCCTGCATGTACTCCCAGATCCCAGTATGGACCCAGGGAAGCCATTCCTTACTGTTCCTCACAGGGCACCCTACAGTGGTCAGCCAAAAAGTTCAGGGGGTGGTGGCAGGTTAAAAGAAGACTGCAACTGGGTTTCACGAGATAACTGTGGGTGCAGATGAACTTCCTTGGCCAGGGCTGGGATTGGGGCATGGGGTAAGCGAAAAGCAAGCTGCAGTCATGTGTATGCAGGACGCTGGCACATGGCTGGGTGGGATAGATGGGGAGGGGTATGGCCTGAAAGCAGTGGTTGCTATCTCTGCTATCTCTGCAGGGAAAGCTTATGACTTGGAGGCATTTGCAAGTTCTGCGCGCAGGCTGCCTGGAACTTAGCTTGCCGCTGCCAGTGGAACAGGGTGGGAGGAGATCTGCCTTGCCAAGTGTGTGGGATCTGCGTGGGGCTTACTGCCACCTGCCACTCCCCACTCCCTGCACAAACTCTTCTGTGCAGCAGAGGCAGAAAGACTCCTCTCTGAATTATCAGCACACTGGCCTGGAAACCAACTCCGCCCCCGATACCCAACAGGGATTGCTGCTTGCCCCGCACAGGGAGAGTTAGAGCACAAAACTGCCTGATCCGGCCCACATCTGGCTTTGCCCTGCCACCGCCGTCCTGGTGGCTTAATACAAAGGACAGAAACTTTGGGGAACTCTATGGCTCTGCCCATTGCCTGAGAAACAAGAGTAGCCACCCTGGGCAACATAGGGCAAGTGAACATCCCCACTGCTACTCCTGCAGCTGGTGCTCCACCTGCTGGGTGGAGGCCAACCAACACAGTCCATGACAGCATCTCCTGGTAGGATAACACTGCCCCCAGGAAGGAGAAAACGGCTGTATGTCCTCAGCTGTCACCACTGCATGCACCACTCTGGCTAACCAGGAGGTCCTGAGTCTGTCCACGTGATCCATTCATTACTACCGTAACTAGCATTCAAGGAAGCCAAAATACTAAGGCTACCTATAACGGGAATCTCACAGAGCTTGTGTCTCTCTCCTGCCGCCCCCATTAGAGCTGGTGCTGCTACCCACTGCTGGGAGTCTCGAGGACAGGTGACATTACCGGATTCCTTGCAGACATTCCCCAGAAACAGCCTGAAGTGTGGCAGCTTCACTGGGTGGCTAGACCCAGAGGAACAACACTCATTGTAGTCTGGTGCCCAGTGACTCCTATCCTACGGGAATGGGGAGTGCACCATGTCAAGGGAACACCCCACGGGACAAAAGAATCTGGACAGCAGGCCTTGAAAATCAGATCTTTCTGCTGGTGGGAAGTTTCTTTCAGCAGGGGCACAGTTTCAGTGCTGGGCTCAGCAGGGAAAGCCCACAGCTCTAACCCAACCATCAGACAGCCCTGGTGTGAGTGAAGGGTCTCGGAGAAGGGGATATCTTTCCTCTCTCTTCCATCGCCACAGGCACAGCTGGGGCTTCTCCCGTGGGAGCTCAGCATGGGTGCAACTGTCGACAGTCTTTCTGGAACACATCAGGGTGATGGCATCCCCGCAGGAGGAGCACCCTCTAGGTTTAGGCTTGCACAAGAGACAGATTCACAATTCCTCTCTACTTGGAACGCCAACATTCCTACAGATGAAAGAGGTGCCCGTCTGATCTGAATAGCTGGAGCACCGGATCACGAGTGTGTCTGAGAGGTGGATGGCTTTCCGGCTGACCTGGCAGGGGAGCTGAAGTGGCACCAACCCTTCCACCTGATAAGACCTCGGTGCACAGCCAGGTGCGGTGGCTCACGCCTGTGATCCCAGCATTTTGGGAGGCCAAGTTGGGCGGATCACCTGAGGTCGGGAGTTCGAGACCAGCCTGACCAACATGGAGAAACCCCGTCTCTACTAAAAATACAAAATTAGCTGGGCGTGGTGGCAAGTGCCTGTAATCCCAGCTACTCGGGAGGCTGAGATAGGAGAATCGCTTGAACCCGTGAGGCAGAGGTTGCAGGGTGAGCTGAGATCATGCCATTGCACTCCAGCCTGGGCAACAAGAGCCAAACTCTGTCTCAAAAAAATATATATATATCAGTGCAACTCACTGAGAGGTCCTCCAGTCACCTCTGTCAAGGCTGGGACCTTTGCTCACCATTGGGTGTTGCATTTACTCACATGCTTTAGCCACAATCACTTCCTATGCAGGCACACCTCCCCTACAGACCTGAAACCTGAACCATCACACCAGCCAATAAAATACTGGGGAAAAAAATTGCATGCCATGTGGGGAAGGAGTTAAGCTTCAAGAGACTTCTACCATTCCAACCCTGTAGGCAACAGTGAACTTGCTCACACAGTGAGCACACTGCTTCTACAACCAGCATATGAGAAAGCCATCACACAAAGACTCCCTATATCCAAGGAACTCTTACAGTCTTCACCCCTGAAAGCACCAAGGACCAAATTAGGCTATAATTAGCTACTAGGGACATTAGAGTCACATCCTTAAGCGGAAAAAAGAAAAAAAAAAAGTCAAATCAAACATAAATTCAAGAATAACTAAAAGAAATAGTCTACTCAAATGAGAAGGAACTGGAAAAGTAACTTTGGTAATATGATAAAACATGGTTCTACAGCACACCCCCAAAAGATCACATTACCTCTCCAGCAACAGATCCAAATCAAGATGAAATCTTTGAAATACCAGAAAAAGAGTTCAAATGGGCACCAAATGAATTATACATGTAATGTTCTTAGGACAATGGCTGGCCTCAAGCAAGCGTGCATTCCACATTATCATTAGGGATTCACGACGAAGTAGGATGCTTACCTCTCGGAGTCAGATTCCTTAACAGGTCTGCAAAAGAGTAGAAGCAGGGGGAATGTTTAGCTGTACAACAAAGTCCCTAGTTATAACATAAAAAATACAGATGACCTGCAGGGATATTTTATTAATAGAAATGGCAGCCATGGGCTCCAATGGCAGCCAATGCCTCTCGAGAGCCAATTTTGCACCTCTCTTCCAACTCTGTGTTCAGTGACCTCATGTTGGTAGCTTGAAGTTTGGCCATGGTGGGAACATTTACACCACAGGAATTGGCAAACGCTACATATCAGGAGTTTTGTTTTTGTTTTTGAGAGAGAAAGCTTAGCAGACCCACTGGAGAAGTAACACTCAGACCCATCTCACACCTTTAGTTAGCCATTTGGAGGTTGGAGATAGATAGATTCCCTTTTTCAGTTTGTTTTTAACCAAGTTATGGTGAACACCGATGTCAAAGAACAACATCAGCCTGGGCATGGTGGTTTACACCTATAATCCCAGCACTTTGGGAGGCTGAGGCAGTGGATCACTTGAGGTCAGGAGTTCAAGACCAGCTTGGCCAACATGGTGAAACCCTGTCTCTACCAATAATACAAAAATTAGCCAGGCATGGTGGCGCGCACTTGTAGTCCCAGCTACTCCGGAGGAGAGTCGCTTGAGCCTGGGAGGTGGAGGTTGCAGTGAACCGAGATCACACCACTGCACTCCAGCCTGGGCAACAGAGCAAAACTCTGTCTCAAAAAAACAAACAAACAAAAAAGTCAAAGGATAAGAACTAGTACAGTGCCTGGCTTACAGGAAGTCCCATGAATATGCATTAAATGAATGGTGAGTTGTTCAGGGTGTGAACTCAATAATGATCCTAAAAATATGATTAACATAAAATGAAATACTCCCATGTGTCAGGCTTTGCTCTAAGCATTTTATATACATGAGGTCATTTAAACCCCACATCAAATATATGAGACTGGGACTGTGTACTCTTGTCTCCATTTTAGGAAGGCGAAATTGGGTCACAAAGAATTTAAGCAGCTTTCCAGAGTCAGCAATGCAGGAGAAGCAGAGCCGGAATGTGGATCCAGGCAGACAGGCTTTGGATTTGAACCACCACACTATTCCCCTAGAGATCCACCACCCAATTCTCCTATAGAATCCTGCGTCTGCGCTCACTGACCAGCAGCGTGGGTGAGTCATGCATCCTTCCCATGACTTGGTGGATCTCAGCAAAATGGAAAGGACAAAAGCATCTGCCTCTTAGGGTACTGGAGGGGTTAAATTTAAATGAGGGGCCAGGCTCGGTGGCTTATGCCTGTAATCCCAGCACTTTGGGAAGCCGAGGTGGGCGGATCACGAGGTCAGGAGATTGAGACCATCCTGGCTAACATGGTGAAACCCTGTCTCTACTAAAATACAAAAAATTAGCTGGTGGGTGGCCGGGCCGCCTTAGTGCCCAGCTACTCGGAGAAACTGCAGCAAGACAATGGCGTGAAACCCGGAGCGGAAGGCGGAGCCTGCAGTCGCAGCCAAGTTACGTGCGCCACTTCGCAGTCCTGCCTGGGCGAAAAGAGCAGACCATTCCGCTCTCAAAAAAAAAAAAAAAAGACCAGGTAAATGATTGCAATGTTTACGGAGACCATTATCTACCAGGCACTGTCCCTACTGAGCTTCAATGAATTATCATCAAATATCTCATAACTACTATTTTTTTCTTTTGAGATGGAAGTCTTGCGCACTGTTGCCCAGGCCTGGAGATGCAGTGGGCAATCCCACTCACGAGCTCCGCCTCCAGGTACACGCCATTCTCCCTGCCTCAGCCCCCCCACGTAGCTGGACACACGCGCTGCCACCACACCAGCTAATTTGTATCTTTAGCTAGAGATGGGTTGTCACCCGTGTTAACGGCCAGGGTGGCTCTCGATCTCCCTGACCTCATGATCCGCCAGCTGTCTCGGCCTCCCAAAGTGCGGGATTACAGGCGTGAGCCACCTGCCCACGCCCCATTAACTACATTTATTTCACCACAGCGAGCACAGAGGCAGAAACTGAGGCACAGAGAGGTTAAGGAACTTTTCAGAGGTCACAAAGCTCACCATGTACCAAAGCAACATCCTTCCAAGGGGTCTGTACTCTCCATCCACTCTGTGGTCATCCGGCTGCCCCAATTATATGAGAATAAATGTCAGGAAATCAGGTTGCTACAACAATTACATACAGGTCCTCTCCGCCATGAGTAGGAAAAGTACTGTGGAATCTCCTTGCACAAAATATCGCTAGCGTTTGACCTTGCTTTCCCCAAATACTCACCAAAAATATAATTCCTATTGACTTCAGCGTTACCAAGAGCACTTCCCCATAAACCTGCCAAGAAAAGAGCAATAAAATTCAAACATTCTCCCTCACGTGACTGTCATGCTTGATATTCAAAGCACCAGCAGACTGGTATAAAGCACTGCAGGGATCTGCAACAGGAAGAAAGATCATTCTTCCATTCCATAAATATGTATGAAGCAATTAGTAGGCACCCGGCACTCTTCTGGCTGCTGGAATAGAGCAATAAACAAGACAGATAAGGTCCTTGTCCTTGCGAACCTTCTATGGGCAGAGCCAGCCAGGCGCTGTAGACTGGCTACCCCAAGGCCATTTCAAGCTTCCTTCCATGCCAACCCTTCTCAGTCTACAGGCAGGAAGGGCAAATATTTCCCAGCCTCCCTTGCAGCTAGGGGGAGGTCAAGCTATGGTCCATGCACATTGCTGGGGGGACTTCTGCAAAGTGCTTGTTGTCCTTCTCAGAAGGAGCAGGCCAGGCATGGTGGCATGCAACTCTAGTCTCAGCTACTTGGGAGGCTGAGGCAGGAAGATTGCTTGAGGCCAGGAGTTCGAGACCTATACTGGGCTATGATTGTGCTTCTGCACTGCAGCCTGAGTGACAGAGAGAGACCCTGACTTAAAAAAAAAAAAAAAAAAAAAAAAAGGTTGCAGCTTCATTGGATGCAGCAGCCATCCTATGGTGTGGAGGAGTTCAGCATGAGGGTGACTGTTAATATGCTAAGGATGGAGGAGCAGAAACCCAGAATAAACCTAGGTCCTTCTGCTTAATGTTCCACAGCTAAACCAATGTCACCCAGCCACCTATCTTTGCATTATTTATGTATTTATTTTGAGATGGGGTCTTGCTCTGTGGCCCCGGCTGGAGTGCAGTGATGTGATCTCGGTTCGATGCAACCTCTGCCTCCCAGATTCAAGTGATTCTCCTGCTTCAGCCTCCTGAGTAACTGGGATTACAGGTATGCACCACTACGCCCTGGTAATTTTTGTGTTTTTTTAGTAGAGATGGGGTTTCAACATGTTGGCCCAACTGGTCTCAAACTCCTGACCTCAAGTGATCTGCCCGCCTCAGTCTCCCATAGTGCTGGGATTTCAGGTGTGAGTCACGGTGCCCGGCCTGTCTTTTTCTTTTGTAAGAAAATTAATCCCACATTTCCTCAGGGCACTGTGGTTGGTTAGTGACTTTTAGCCAAACATATTTGTATAGATACAGGAAGACATAAAAAATGAATAATCAGCCAGGGCCAGGTGCGTTGGCTCACGCCTGTAATGCCAGCATTTTGGGAGACTGAGGTGGGTGGATGAATTGAAGTCAGGAGTTTAAAATCAGCCTGGCTAACATGGTGAATCCCTATCTCTACTAAAAGTACAAAAATTAGCTGGGCCTGGTGGTGTGCACTTA